TGAGAAATGACTCTACAACACGAGCAGAAGTTGCCTTCATGACGTCATTGCGGGTAGACCTTGGGAAATTAAACAACACATTTGCGGAACAAGTGGTTAACCTTATAAGCGGTACACATTGCTGTTTCGCAGTTAATTCAACCACGGAATGTTAGGTGGTAAAAATCTTTTATTCTTGAGCGATTAATGGAGTGTTGATTAAAACCATTGCCGATTAACACGAGGTGTTCAAGTTTTACGAAAAACACTACACGAAATGCTATCAGAATTTGAGTCACGTATGGAACTGAGTTGGTGACAATGGCTGAATCGAAATGCCTGAAACACAAAAACTATAGTATAAGATGAATGGCACCATGTTGAAGAGCCACCTGATGTTAAATTTGACTTACAGATGCTGAGAACACTATCCTCGTTCTCCTTTCTCAGTTCTCTGGTTGTTAAACTTTTGTTTGAAAAGCTAAATTAAAATGAAATCAAGTGGGGGTGGAGTTCCACATAGGACGCTTACTGCACTGCGTTGGTCCAGACCGTTACCCTGACTTGCCAGATTCAGGAGTCCTAAAGTATGTTGCTTACAAATTCTAGTCTTCAATTATAAATCATCTTTATTTTTTTTCACTTTCACTGACCTTAATCTTCTTGATGTGTAAGCTGTCTGCTTGCAGTGAAACCGCCTGCTATGTACATCTGGTTTCAGGTAAAAAGGCTTTTTTCATTGTGCTTTTAAAATCGTCATGATTTGAAACTGTCTCAGCGATCAGCAAAGGTCGGTAAACACTGGTGGACCTGTTGCTGACGCTTCACGAAGGGATAAGCCCCTTCGTGTGTACGCATAGAACGTATTTTGAGAGGACAGTTCGCATTCTGTGCTTACGAAGCGGATATCAGGTAATTTCTATGTTGTAGCGGGGAAAGTTTGCAAGAGCAGTGTACGCGATGTGACATTGAAAATTAATGTGATTTTGTCCCTGATTTATTACGCACGAATTCAAACCAGTTGAATTTCACGCAAAATATGTCTTAGGGACAAAATTTTATCCCCGCAACAGATTTCACAAAAATGGATGATAGTCTTATAATGTGAACCAATTCAAACGAAAGCTCGATTAAGCAGTACTTTCATCTGGTACTGACAAATTGTGTTGTATTTGATCTATCTTAGCCTGAAATGTCAGTCATCCCATGAGGAAAGCTTTCACTTGCATGGTATAGGTATAATTCCTCATGTATCTTGTACGCATGTGATAATAATAATAACTTCATTTAGTGTCAATGAGATTTAGCATTACTGCTAACTGGGGACACCCCTTAATCCTTTCACGACCTAATTTTCATAAAAAAAAAATGCCGCTTTTAACCGTTAAATCAGTTTTTTGGCCGCCACGACGCTAAATGGGCCTTAGTTTTGCTGAAAAAGGCTTTTTTTTTTACCAAACTGATGGATTTCCTAAAGATTAAGTACAAAAATGTAGAATATTTTGATTTGGTGCATGCCAAAATTTGGACTTTTTTTGCGATTGCCCGTTCCGAATTTAAGTTAATGTGTCAAATTAGTCTGTCCGCAGACTTTTTTCTCCGAGTCAGTTTTCTTCGAGCGCGCGAGAGCGAGCGCAGGGCGCAAGAGATACCTATTATAGTTGGAACGTGGCCTACCATATCAGGCCCCCATATCAGACCCCAACATACAATACGAGACCCCGACCTACCATATCAGACCCCAACGTACCATATCAGGCCCCGATCATATCAGTCGGGTTTGACTGTTTTATGTTTCGGGTTTAACTTTATGTTAACTGTTGTGCTAAGTAATACAGTAATTCTTCAGTAGTGTACTGAAATTATTATGAAATATGGCTATTACGAATAACAAACTGCAAGTTCACTGGAAGAGAAGGTCGCCATTGTTGCAACTTCCTTTCTGGCCTATAGAATTCACAGCATCGCGTTTCTTATTACCATATTCTGGTTCTATTTTGTTAGGAAATATATAAATTATAAATACTTTTAAAATATATTTTTGGAGCAAGCATCCGTCCCAAAACGTTGTAAGATAATTATGTATCACTTTGTTTCAAGTCACGTAACCAGCGTCTGGAAATTTTTGTTGACCTCAAAATGCCTTTGTTTATTAGCAGACTTCGCTGACAGATTGGTATTATGTCCGTCTCAGAAGTTATTATCCGATTGCTTCATGCAGTCACGCAATTCTCACCCTCGCATAGTACTCGTTTAATGTACCGAAGCTTTTCTATGCAATAAGGTAGACCGACGAGAAGTGTATAACACATTGATAAAGGTCAAGCGTAAGGTGATTTTATAGCATTTCTTTATTGGGATATTTGTATAATTTCACGCCCGAAATTTTTATAGTTATATTCATCGACAGCACTGGAAGGCCTCTTTCACTATTGTCAAATACCGGTTTAAGCAATGTCGTATAGGTGAAAATAAGTCGTCTACTCGCAACCAGAGGGTTTGGACTCCCATAA